AAAGAAAAGAAAAGAAAAAGAAAACCCAAAACTCAAAAAGTTTCAAAAAGTAAAACCTGAATTTGCCACATGCCGGAAACTACTGGTGAAGCCACATGAAGTAATATATAGCCATTGCATTAGATATTATAAGTAATCTAGACAGAATTTAAGGTTTATGGGAGGGAGGGTGTGTGTAGGTTCTTTGCAAACACTACACCATTTTATACTTGGGCATCCAAGGATTTGGGTATCTGAGGGGGATCCTGTAAACAATCTCATATGGATATGGAGGGATGAGTGTAGTAATGGCTCCACAACTGGTGAATGATTGAATGATCTGAATGTTTTGAATTCATCATGTTTGCTATTTTTCACATTACAGGTAGATAGAAAATACATTAAGAACTTAGTTATTAGCAAGCTGCAGGGAAATGGCCAAACCCTAAGTGCCCCATATGGACTTAAAAGTTATCCAGAATTTTGACACTGTGTAACCTTGCTACTTAAAGTGGCGGGAGCTGGCTAATAAAGGCAGAACCTGAGGCTCCACTCCAAATCTGTCAAGTTAGAGAACCTACATTTTAAACAAGTCCAGGTCATTTGAATGCACATCGAAGTTCGGGAAGCTTTATCATGCTTTCTAAAAAAAATACTGAACCAGAGAAATATTTCTTTAAAATTGTATCCTGTACTACTCTCATTAATGTAGGGTGTAAGAGAAAAGGAAGAGAGGAGGGAAGGGAGCGAGGGAGCACATTCTTCTCTGCCTCTTAATTTTGTAGCTAGTTGGATGATGCTTTCCACCTGCATGGGATTAAGAAAAGAAAAAGCCAGTAGGTGCTAGTTCCAATAGTTACTCTCAGCAGGTAGCTGAGGAGAGAAATGTGTTTGTCTTAAGGTTTTAGTTACTAAAGTTTCCTCTTTTTTGTGTTGTGGTAAGGGATGGAGTGGAGACTATCCTTCATTGTCGACCAACACACCTACCCCTTCTGTCCCTCCTTGGGGTTCTGCTGACTCCCCCTGGCCTGACAGTTGGTAGAGAGGGCTGGCAGGTGGAAGCCAGAAATTCCCCCAGGTGCCTCAGTACACCCCTCCCCCACCCACACCTTTGCCCCGTTTGTCAGGAAAGTCAAGCAATTAATTGCCTAGCAGGAATTGCCACTAAATGTAATTCTCTCAGATGTAGTTGCGAGACTTATTTGTCAGGGTTGAGAGGTTTTAGCCCACAAGCTGGAATTTTTGACGTGGGAATAAAAACTGGATTCTGCTCTCTTTTTGTAAAGTTTCTGGATAAATGGCCCAACGAGAGAGTTTTGCAGGTTTTGGCATAGCTCAACAAAATAACTATTACTGCTACTGGCAAAAGTGAGTGTTTTCCTCCTACTTTGAAAAGGAAAGCTGTTACTGTTCTATTTGCTACATAATTGTTGGTAACTTATGAACTATGGCTTTTTAAAAATTTATTTAAGTTCCGGGGTACAGATGCAGAACATGCAGGTTTGTTACATAGGTATACATGTGCCATGGTGGTTTGCTGCACCCATCAACCCGTCATCTACATTAGGTATCAAACTATGGCTTTGAACACAGGTATTCAATTTATTGCAAACTTCCTGGAGAAAAGAAAGGGGTTGGGGGTTTGTGGATGATTCTGCATTGGTTGGTGACGATTCTCATTCCTGTAGTCTCCCATCTGCTTTTAGAGTGAAGCAGGAGTTCCAGCCCAACCAGGGTTACCTCTATGGCAACTGGTATGCGCGACAGCACAGCTCATACCTTCTTTCTGGCTACAGCTATGGCTGTGCAGTGGATGGAAATGGACGGGACTGTTTTTCTGCGCATGAGACTCCTGAACACACAGCTGGAACTCTGGTTATGCCTAAGGTATCCCTTGCTGGAATGAATCTTGTGTCATTTGTATGCCCAATAATAGTAAACATCACTTTCCTATCTTCACACATCTGTGTCCTGTCATCCAAATTCCCACAGCATGGCTTTTGCTACCTGTTTTAATACTAGAGAGTAAAGCTGATAACCTAAGAAAAATTTTTTATAGCTTTGTTGAGGTATAATACACAAAAAGTCTCTGTACCTGTTTAATTTATATGCTTTGCTGAGTTTGGACATGTGTAACCTAGAAGTGTTCACTTGCAGATAATTTCCCATTCTCTTCCAGAAACAAAACAAAAGCCTAATGAAGTCTTTGTCTAAATTCTTGCTACTAAATTTTAGATTATCATAATTCAATATATTTTACTCTTTAACACTTAATATAGGACAAAAGGTGGTTTTGGGGTTTGTTTTATAGCAGCTGGACATAAATGCACTTTAAAAAGATATTTTAATAGTTTGAATTACTGAAATGACATATTTCTCAAATCACACAAAGATGTATTGAAGTAAGGGAAAAGTTCCCCCTCAAACACCCCTCCTTCTTCCCCATTCCCCTCCCACTTAGAAGAAAGTACTGTGGAGTGGATCTATGTCTTCTAGATCTTTCTCCTGTACTCTTGCTCAGTCAGTGTGGTTCGTCTTTCTGTTTTGGTGGTTAGGGGATGATTTAGGCAAGAATGAACTATGTAGTACATACTGGTTTGCTCTTTGCTTCTGCATAAGGAGACCTTTCTTTAAAAAATTGCACACTTACGGTCTGGGCAAGATGGCTCACGCGGGTAGTCCCAGCTACTTGGGAGACTGAGGCAGGATGGTCACTTGAGCTCGGGAGTTGGAGGCTGCAGTGAGCCATGACTGTGCCATTGTACTCCAGCC